GCGTGACCCTTTAGAGCATAGGTGTCAAACTCAGGCCCGCGGGCCAAATCTGGCCGCTGGTGTGGTTATATTTGGCCAGTGAGATCAAATCAAATGTGTATTAAAGCTGGCCTGCCACTATATAGCCACTATAAACTGGTGGGATTTGTAGTATTAGTAATGTATGCAGGATATTATTTTTGTTTTGTTTTGTTTTTTTTAAAGTAAAAAAATTTACTTTAAAAAAGGAACTCAAAAGGCTACAAGTCCTTCTTAACCAATCCATGGGAGATGGTGACGTAACCAGGAAACACTGCAGGTCAAGGATGTCGTAAACTGAGGGCCTCCTGTACTGAACACCCAGTCTGTGTTTCCCCATTCTGAAGGTGTATTAATGATGCTAAATGTATTCAGTAGGCTACTATGAAATAGTGCTGCTAATACACTGTGTGGACATCAGAGATACTGAAAAGCAATGCAGAAGATAAACACTGAACACACAGCCAGCGTGGCCCTGTCCCAGTAGTCCTTCTGGATAAGATGCAGGATCCTAGTGAGTTGGAGACAGGAGATAACAACAGCAGAGAGACAGGGGAAACTGGGAGTACTTTGAAGGTCAATAAGTTTAGCATGCCTGACATAACCCACATTCCTCGTCGACTTCCATTTCAGCCTTCTCGCTGCATCAATCGTCCCCTCGATCTCTTAACTCTACATCAGGCCTCAGGGTGTACGGGGGAGAGTGTCATCTTCTGATATTTTGGGAGAATTCAACCTTAGGTGTGTGAAAGAAAAAATCTATTGTTGCTGGATACAATCTTTCATGGTAATTCTAACTCGGGGGGATAGCAACACTTTTCCACTGAGCCGTAGTCATGCATGAATGAGCGCGTTATGTGCCTTTGCATACTGACAGTCACGAGGCTGTCCTAGGACATCACTCCATAAAAGATACCATATGTTTCAGTGAGGCCCAGTGATTTTTAATGATTTATAAAGACAAGTTGGTAGAAAGAACACAGGTCAGCTTATAGTAGTAGTTGTACTTCTACGACTCCAACTACTACTAATGTGACTAACAGTACTGCTGCTTCTGCTGCACCAGAACTAAACCTCTTGTCTATGATGTCGTTGATGGTGCTGTTCAGAAACCACTGTTACCAGTTTTAAAACAGCACCTGCTGATCTCCATAGTACAATAATACAGTCAGGGTGAGCGCTGATGATGAAGTGTGTTCAAGCTGCTAAGTCTCAGAGGTGAACTCCCATCTATTACTGCGTACGTTTCTTTTGTCAGACTTCCGTGAGTTAGTAATTTTGAATAATAATTAATTATAATCCAACTGGAACGCAGCTCAGCGCAAACACAGAACAGCAATTTAAAACTAAACCTACCGTCTTACCTGTTTTTCACCAACTGCAGCCAACCTACTGCACCTACCATTGAACAACACGACAGACGCTCAACACTGGATTATTCTTTGCTTTGTTTTGTTACGTTTTGACCTTCTGTTTTCTACCCTGCCCGTTCCTAACTTCCTGACCTCACTCCACCACACTCGACTGACTCTTTCCAGAATCCTGTCTTCGGCTCCTGCGACCACCTAGTGAATCCTTCGTTGTCACGTCATCATTCCCTCAGCCTGTCAGCTGAATATGCCACCTCTGCACAAAGTATGTGGCGGTACTCCCTAAGAACGTTTATCTGTTGGCAGCTTTGTGCAGAGTGCTACTCTACTGTGTGATGGCAGGCGGGTGGGAATTCCCACAGGAGTGGTCTCTGCCAATTCTCAAAATTCTACAGCATCTGTCTTAATCTTAATCTACCTGGTTGGCCTAACTGTTTTACAAGTTTTAGTTCTATTTGGTTTTGGTTTGTTTATTACACTAGAAGAGTTGAGCTTTTTAACCATGTTTTTAGTCTCTAATTGTGCCAAAAATAGCTTTACAAGTATAAAGAAACATGAAGAAAGGAGGTAGAAATGTGTAACAGAAAATACATTAAAAATATATTTTTTATAGTTTTTTTATATGGTCCTTTTTGGAGTCAGGACTGGGCTTAAAAAAGAGCATCAACCAAGACTTGGTTTTTACAAGCAAGGTTAGGTGTCAGCTAGACAACAACACTGTCACTAGTACAAAATAGCAAAGTATTTAGCCCCTGATAGCAGCTGATGATACTGTGAAAAGAGTCAAAGGGCCGGGAGTGAGTGACCTTTGACTAGTTGATACGAGGCTTGAACAAAGCATGGCCTGCTCTTCAGCTCTTACCAATCAACTCTATTCTTGAACACACATTAAGTGGAACAATAGCACAGATTTAAATACTCACACACAAAAACAGCCGTCCGTGCGTCAAGGTGGACTCTATAAACCAGGGGTCAGCAACTATATTTATCAGAGAGCCAAAATGTTTTTCTGGTCAGACATCTAATCAAAGATCAAAAATAGTCATAAATGACAGCACAGTTATTTAAGTCTTAGTTGTTGATTTTTCAGTTACTTTAATAGTGGGGACCACACAATATTTTCTCTTTGATACTCACAATATTGGAATCCAGTTGTCGGCTAAATTCGGCCCCGCGGGCCAACAGTTGATATTAAATGCTATACACTAGCTGACATTGCAGTAAATGCACAGCTGGAAGAGTCAACTGCAGACTTTGCAGTTACTGAATAACACAACTGACTGCAATACAGAATGTACTAAGAGACCTTTGACCTCCACCCCCGTGGTCTCACAGACGGCTGAGTTATCACACTGAAAAGCTGGACATAGAAATAATGTCAAACGTTCCATAGATAAGAGTTACGGAGACCAAACTTTCTCTAGTCAAGCCTCTCACATTCTTCATTTTCATCAGTCAGAAAATAAACAACCACAGCACTAAATATAGAAGGCTGCATGTTTTTTTTTCTTTTTCACAGACCTTCCTGCATTGCCCTCTCCTCATCTATCTCTAACCTTCATCATGAACCTCTTCTCATTGTTCCTTCCAATCTTCCATACGTCTATTCCAACATTTCCTGCAGCTGGCCCTTCATACTATCTGTGCTGTGTCCTCTTCATCTTTCTCCTACTTCCACCCAGCCACTACCCTCTGGTTTTCTCTCTGGTCAGTGGTGGGTCTTGACGAAAGGGCCTCATGCGAAGGCACAAGACTCCATATTTGGACAAGCTGATGGAGCTCAGGGATGAGGCTCTCACACGATCCTCCTTTGAGTAACCTCTCATTCCTCTCTCCCATCCTTCCACCCCCTTCCTCTCTCTTGTGCCCTCCTTGGAGTCTTGCTCCCTCCATTTCCTTCTCCACAATAGCAACTATAAGCAGTGGAGCGTCTGTTCGTGTATTTGACAAGTTTATCGAGTCAAAAATATGCGTTTTGTCACATCAAATTCAGAGTAAATCTAGATGTGAGTCTCCAGTAAATTAGTGTAACGCATTAACAAAGCATTTACACCGTGTTGAAATTCAAAGTGGAAAACAACACGTTAAAATAAGGACAGAAAAACAACCATGGAGACACTACTCTACAGTATCTGGGAGGAATCACAGAACACACACAGAGACAGACACGGGTCTGACCCCTGCAAAAGACAGAATCACATCCTGGACCAGTAAGAACACATCCCAGTGACTTCAGGGTAAAAGGACTGTCCAACTGGACTGTCTGATTATATGAAACTTCAAATATATATTTGTCTAAAAATTAGCATAGGCTAGCTACTGATCATGTTAGCATTTATCTGACGTATTGTAATCTGGTGGACCCAGATGTTAATGACACATTTCCTTTAACAACTCAAAGCCCTGTATAAACATACAGTACAAGTCACATTTCATGCATCATCATGCATGTGATATAAGTTATAAGATGTATTAGAAGTACTTCTCTCTGTTAGGACTTTCCTTCTCTGGATCATTCTTGGACGAAATGTGTTATTTGCCATCATATACGGCATAAGATTAAAGTTTTAATACTGTGTTTTGTTTCTTTACTGTGAATCAATATCACACTTCATCTTAGTCTAGCCTTATTTAGCCTCACACAATTCAAATTAATGGAAGAATATCATTTTATTAGAATGAAAAGGAAATCAAATCAAACTCCAAATGGTTTCTCTGTCTTTCTTTCTTTCTTTCTGTCTGTCTGTCTCACTCTCTCTTTTTCTCCCTCTTGCTCTGTGTATGTGTGTCATACACATTAGAGTTTTGACCGAAGTAGTGACGCACGCCAACTATCACTGCGTCAGTGTCAT